CCCTTAAAAGCAACTACTCTCAGGAACTGTAGGGTATTAAATCATTACAGATAGGAAAGACGTCCCAGAATCCCTTAGTCAAGCACGAGCGAGTTTTCCGCCTTGTTGATTTTAGTTAGGAATCAACTGTAGTTGAAATCATCGTACGTTGTTGGTGGGGAAAAGGTTTTTTTTTTTAATTTAATTTTTAACAAGGTATGGTTTGTAAATTGTTTAAATATAAATTATTTAACAGATAATCTTCCTTGGATAAATTAGGTGATTGTACGGGAAGGGTAACGGTAATGTTTTTTCTGCTAGTTTCTAAGATTGGGGATGCTTAGGCATTTAATTATTCCATTGGATATTCTTTTTCTTATCAATCTTCTTGTTTTTAACATAAAAGGTTCACTTGCAATTCACTTTTATTTATTTTTTTTTGTCATCAACAGTTATAAAGTTATTTGCCGGATACCACTCCCACGGAGATTATTTTCTTCTTTATTGTTCTTTGAAAACTTTTATGAAAAGGCATCTATTGATCGATATCTTCATCATACTTCTGATTCGCTGTGTAAGTGATTTGTTCCTGCGTGACGTATGTACTCTTCTTCATTTTATTATCTCAAAATCGGTTTAATAAGTCTGTTTGATGTATGATTCAATAGTTAGAATTAAACTTTTATTAAGTGTGACGTTTAGAAGCGATTATTTCACTTTTGAATCATCTCAGCATAAATGTCTTACGTGACATCCTCGACTTCGCAAGCTAGACGTATTTTAGTTATAGAAGTATTTATATTATAAATCACTTATTCTTCCGTAGGATCCATAGGATCCTAAAATGTATTTAAAATAATAATTTCATTCATTTTTTTTTCTTAAATATTTTCAGTCGTTATAGTTTACTGATTACAGATGTAATATTAAAAAGGTAGCAAATATTTTATTGATATTGACTTTAAAAGGTGATATTTAAACCAAGAAATCTTTAAATTAATTTCAAATTTATCTGTTTTTGTTTCAAAACTGTTTGGTTTAAAAATATAAATTTAGAACTGAGCTAAAAGATATGCTTATCTTATACAAGCAATGAAATATATAAATATTTGGTCAAATAAAATTGTACAGATTAAATGTCATAAAAGACGATGACGCTTATATGTTTTAATTTTTTTTCAATGCTTTACATAGTTTAATTTACTTCTTTTAATTCATATTTATTATGTTGATATTTTTTTTTTAAACTTTTAATCGAATATTTTTTATTTTATTTTTTAAATAAATACTTGACGATATTTCTCAAGAATTTTATTACTTTATATGAAATAAAAAATTTGGTTTTCAATCCTAACTTAATTTCATTTCACAAAATCAATGTGATACATGTATACAAGACCTTTACTCTAAACAGTAACATAGTCGAAAGATTCTAGAAAAGTTCCACTGTATTATAACCAGGACCTATAAAGATTGGTCACAGAAACTCAACCATTCAATAACTTATCTCATGCTCTGCAGGCCACGAGGTTAAGATGGGGAATGTAGTTCCATGAAATCTATTAGGAATCTACACAGATGGCAAAAGACCACTCTGGATAAAATAAAAAGATGGGATAATTAGAATCAACAATTATGCTGGAGATGTGCTTGCAGAAAACTAGAAAGCAACACCCCAAGGCGGGATGGAAAAGGATGGTTTGGTTCTGGGCTGCCAAAGATCTACGAAATCTCTAGAGCCAACAAAAAAAATAAATTAAAATTACCTTTTTTCGAAAAGTGTAATGAAGTTTTTTTTTTCCAAATCCTCTTAACACTTAATTAACTTTGTGTTACTATATAGACAGCTACACAGACAGCTAAAAGACTAAGTTCAAAAAATAAAATTATTCATAAGGTGAAATAAACCGCGTATTTCTTATTTAATGCAATGAATTTTCCGTTTAATTTTAGGCAAAGATATAACGTTTTTGATTTGTATTTTTTAATATGTGCTAGGCTCAAAACTTCACTTTTTAATAATATTCTACTTAGCAGGCTTTCGCAGTGTGGCTTTCGATATGTAGATTAATCTTTTTTTGAAAATACTTTTTTTACTGTAAGAGATTTACAATTCAAATTTGTCAACAAAGTTGAAGGTATTATTGTAATACCAGTAACCTCTTTCTCCCTTTTTATTTTCTATATAGCGACATTGTTTCAGTGACAGTAAAATAAAACTAGTACCTATGCAAGTATTTGAGTAAAGATGGATGTGATCATTTATCAGTTATATTTATAAGATCATAGGAAATAAGTTATATTCATTTTTTCTATGACTACTTTTTTTTTTTTAGCTTATTTATTGAAAAATATTACATTCTGTCTCAAGGACATTTATAATAATGTTCACAGATCACATTCACACTCTATGTACAATAAATAAAATAAATTATGCAGGAAAATTATATATATACAATAAATAAAAATAAAATAACCTAAAAATAAATGAATAAAATTAACACATACATACATACCTATATACAATATTTACAATCTGGCGAGAGAACTCTAAACCAGACTTGTCCCTTCAACTGTGGAGTTAAAAGCATGGACTCCAGGAGATCTCTGCACTTCTCTCTCAACCGCGTCACTGGGGCTAAACCCAGTGGGGATTGAGCAAGAGTGCATAATGACTAAATTAGATATGTAAAGTATAACTTCTTCCATTTGAATAGTTTGTAAAGTTTTTGTTGGTGATTTTAATTGAATCATATATGTCGATAAGAAAGTAAGAGAAAGACAGATCCTGACAGACTGGCAGTTTCCCACCAACCGATATAGATCTAATAGAACCACTACTGGACTTCGTGGTTTTATTGGATTAAATATGTTTTAAAATAATTAATTCTAATATTAAATCTTAAATGGTCCTAGGCTATTACTCGTGCTTCGTATAGGAATGATAAAACTAAGGTCGGTTCTTAATGTCATCTGAAAAGAGAGGATGTGACCTTTTCTTGCTCTTTCTTTTCTTTTTTTTCTATACATCGTTGAATAGAGCACTGTCGTTTTCTACTGCAAAACATTCTCAGGATATTTAGATAGATACAGTCTCATATCAATACAATGCAACAATTCTCTTCCTTTCATATAATTTTTTTTTATTGTTTTTATTCAATTTCTTTTTAATTTAGTTACTACTTTAGAGTTTTTTTTTTATTTTTTATTATCTATATTGACAGAATGATAGAAGTATACGAAATAAAAATCCAACTATAAACAAAGAGGCATGGATATGAACGAATGGGAATGAATCAACTTACGAATTAATATGTTGATAAAGTACCGAATCGCTTTTAATTTCTGGACTTAAAAAAAAAAAAATACATGCCTCAAGGAACTTTTCTTTTTGTGACAGTGATCCTGCTGTTACTCCCACGCCAGTGTACAGTTAGATCCTAACAGTTACTTACTTGTTCTTTAATATAATGCCTGGAATAAGAAAACCATTGGAATTTTTATTGTTGGATTTTACTCAGTTCTGAATGTGTCTTAATGATAAACATGACATGCGATTTCCTGGCTTTCTGGAAAACTGTATCGCACTTTCCCCTTTTGAATGTTTTCCTTACTGTTATAAAATATTATCAATTTATAGTAATAATTAAAATCTACAGAGATGGACATTGACTTGCCATTTGGTCATATCTCTGTTTTTCGTTAACTACGTTATATACTATGTTTGAAGGTTAGGTAATTGACCGCCACAATGGAAAACTGGGTGGACAAAACACACATGTATCTTAACTAATTGGTTGGCAAATATCCTAATCAGTCATGCACTTAACTCTATTTTTTCAATAAATGCACCTATACCTGCCTACCTCTTTACCTGTAGGTTCTTCATATATTCAGAAGGATCCCGAATGTTTCTCATAAAAATATGGTCACATTGCGTTATTCAAACATATTACTGAACATAAATGAAATAACTTGTATTATTAAAAAATAATCTCTTGTTATAAATTAAATCAGACGCTGTAGTCGTTAGTAATGTTTAGTAATGTACTGATTTTAAAAATGTGTTATCTTACTGAAGTGCCTGCCTGTAGACATTTAGTCTGAATCATCTTGATATTGACACCTACAGATTATCTTTTTCTTTTTTTTATCATTGAAGGATTTTGTTTACTTCCATTCAACTAACCTCTTTTTAGCGATTGCTGCTGTCCTGCAACTGAACTGATAAACTCCTTTATTCAAGGTACCTTCTAGTTACAAATTTTATACATTGTATATATATATATATATATATATATATATATATATATATATATTTCTTTTTTTTTTTTTTGCGTTAGGGTTGTTTCCCATTTTATTATAGTTGAAAATACTTTACATTTTGCTTTTGGAAGAATTTATTTTATCATGATAATCATTTATTCAAGCATTCTATTCCAACTACTTATTGGGATTGTAGGCTTTAAGTTTTTATTACCTTTGGAGAGTTATTTGCGATCTATATGATGGGAGGGGTGATTAAAGTTCGTCATTTCCATTAAATACATATTGAATTTGTTTTAGTTTTTAATTTTTGTATTAAAGTTTGGGTCCAATCAATTATAAAATATTGGATTCATAGTTTCCGGTCTCTGTTTTATACTTAGGTGGTTAATTAGTTTATGTCAATCGAATCTGAGGTTGGCAAATTCTCTAGAGCACTCGTTTCCGTAAATTCCTTACCCTTCAAAGTGTCCATGATAGGGAATAAGATTTATAGCTAAAACTGCTTAGCTGTAGCTTCCATTAACTGTCCATAAATGGTGCTACATTATTATATCCCTTTCTATTTCCTTGTAAGATGAAGGTCTTTCATTGGTTGAAATAATAACCTTGCTTCAAATCTTTTTTTAGAATTTTAGAATACATGGTAAGAGGAATGTTTGCTTTTAATATCGTCTGTTCAATTTTTAATTAAATTATTATTAACTTGAATTTTATTTCAAATTTATCTTTACGATTAGTGAATTTTTTCTTATTTTTGTTTCAGGAAGATGGCAGAGGTGGCCAAGAGTGTGGTAAGAGAAGAATCAGCAGGTGGGGGAGAGGAGGAGGATGACGGGCCTAGTTTGGGTGAAATGATACAGGCAGAATTGCTGACTCTTGGGGGCGGCTGGACCGGTAGCGACAACGGTTGGAGTACGGTAGAAGAAGTAGCCAAGGGTATAGTGTCACCTCTTGGCCCCCAGGCTACCTCCAGCCCCCAGGCATCGAGCCCCTCGGCCCGGAGCCCCTCATCTCCCCCCAACGGGCATGCGAATGACCAACTAACTCCTAACTGTGTGCAGCTTGTAATAACCCCTACCAGCCCCCCAGCATCGCCACTGAGATCCGAAGCCCCAGTCATCACTAACGGCCACGTAGAGGAGGTCGCCATCGACCATGCCGAATCAGTCGAGGACTGTGCCGAGACCGTTCACGAGGAAGTTTCTAGCTGTGTCGAATCGGTCCTGGAGGAGGTGATCGAACAGACTGTTCAGCGTCAAGTCGTCGAAACTACTGTCCAACGTCAAGTCGTCGAAACTTTTTTACAGCACGAGGTCGATCAAACCGTCCAACAGCAGTTCGATCTAAGCGATGAACAACAGGTTGGCGTGATTGGATATCATCAGGTCGAACAGGTTGCCCAACATCAGGACGAACATATTGTCCAACATCATGACGAACAGATTGTCCAACATCATGACGAACAGATAGCCCAAAATAACATTGAACTCGTCGAACATCATAAATTCGATGAGGTAAGTTAGTTCGTTCAGGGTTAAAAATCACTAGGAAAGTATTATTATTGGTTAGGTTTGGTTTTATTAATACGGTAAAGATCTGCAGTTTGTCCATTGCTATATTATTATTTAATTTCTGGTATTTAATTTGTATGTTGAAGAAAGATAGATAAAAACAAAATAAGATAAATTATAAAATGACTTACCCATTTTATCAAATAAGATTATTTAATTCATGAAATTATATATATTCATGAATATATCACTTAAGGCTAAAAATACATCAGTAATTCCGTTCAATAATAAAATAAGTTTCAAGATTTTGAATCAGAATAGTATATTTTTGAGAAGAATTTTTATCATTTTAAATCTAAATATTCTTCACAAAGTAGTAAATGTTTGAAACTTAATAGAAATGAAGAGCTTATAACTGATTGATAAAATGAAATTCTTGAAAATAGCAAGGAGGGTTATTAAATGTAGATCAAAAATTAAGATTGGCTACCTCCAAAAATTTAATATATTACAGAGCTAAATTACTTAATTAAAAAAAAATACGAAATTATTTATAACATTAGGGACTAACCAGATATAAATAAGGAACTGATAATATTAAAAAAAAAAAAAAAGGATACACGATAGCGGGATGACCACGGGAAATTTTTCAATATTAAAATCAGTGAGATTTCTCATTCTAATCGTTCAGATGTAAGCAATTGATTTATTTTATATTATTATTAAATTTTAGTTCTTATCTTTTTGGTACTTTTATTCTGTCCGTTAAAAAGATTCTATAAACTTTGTTGCGTCTTATCTTTTTCGCTCCGAAGCAGATCATTTGATAATATTACACTATTTTTGTTTTATTTTTAACTTTACTCTAAGCATATTTTCTTGATTTTTTAAAATGTATTTCATTGTTCTATTTATTAAATTTAATCTTCATATTATTTTTGTTAATTTATAAAAAAGGAAGTTTTCCACTAAAACAAGAAGTACATTTTATTAAATTTATTTCGACGAATATGGATAAATAATGCTTGGGGAAGATGACCTTTGGAGAATAATCGAGCATCCGCTTGAAATTATTCAAAGAAAACTGTTTATTAAGGTCAGAAGAAATTAGGGTCTGAATGTTGAAAGAAATGGGGGTCTGATGTTGAAATAATCTTACGAGGTAGTGAGATCTTGTAGTCAGGACCGCTAGCATGATTGTATTCTGCAAACACGACCTTCTCAGCAAATAGTCTACCGGACTGGCCTCCATAGCATTCCAACAATTACCAACAGTAGTTACGATTGGAGCTACGTTGTATCCGGTCGGTGGGGATGTTCTGGTAGGGATCCTTCCAAAGCCTACTACATATTAAGAATGCTGGATATAGTTCGCAAATCAGTCATTTCATGACAATGATTTTTTCATCCGTAGATGATGGATAATAATATTTTATTTATGCTCTATCTACTTTTTGTCTCTTATTAAATTATATTTTCTCGGCAATAACTCATTAGAGGTTTTTAAAAAAATAATATAATCATTCATTTTCTCAGTCTTTGGCAATGTCCCTAACCTTACTTCAAGCCTGGAAAAAAAAAATAAAAAAAAATAAAAAAAGTGAAATGTTTGCTTGGTTAATTTTATAGTCTAATACCTTTTATTTGAGAAGGAGTTGGTTGGGGGTGCGGTCAAATTTAATACTATAAGCATAAGATAAGGTATGGAACTTTTCTCTTCCGTGTATGCCAATTTATTCTAAATAATTCTTATTTATCTAAATACATCTTTCTAACGTTTCGAACTCTGTCCATCATCAGAGACACCTCCTTTTAATACTTTATACTATATATTAATATAATATTTTATTGGATACGCCGACGTTTCGACTCACGTTGTGGGTCTTCATGCAACGTGGGTCGAAACTTCGGCGTATCCTATAAAATAGTATTTTAATGTGTCCCATAAGTAGAGTGAAATATTTAAAGGGGTGATAGGGGACGTCAAGAGCTACAAATTTTTTTTAATAAATAATTGGCCGATTTTCAGCAGGAAAGTAGGAAATTAAAGTTGTTTTTTTTTAAGTGTCACTTTTTTTGTTAAATAGGAAGTGGTAACTAAAATAATCTTTAATTTAAGTAAGAACGATTCCTCCACCCTAAGATTAATAAAATTTTAATTAAATGGAAGTAGATTTTGTCATTTTTGAAACCATTTAAAGAGGACTATTTAAGAGCTGAACTCAGCAAAGTTTCGTTTAAAAAAATCATAATTATTTGCTCCTTTTTTTTATCACTCTCAAATTATACTACCGATAACTCACATTTACAAAAACTTCCTCGTTTAATGAGCTTCAGGTTCATATTAATTAAGTTGATGTTTATTAGGAAAAAATTTAAGGTTCACCTCAAGTTGTGTAAAAAAATTATATTATTTGATATCATGTAAAAGTAACCATATTTTCAGTGGAAATGACTACAATGTATTAGTGAAAAACTTGAGTATCTTTTTTTCCCACAATCGGAGAAAATAATTGAAACAATCAGAAGGTGTCTTTATCTTAAAAGTAAATATTAGGATTGGAAGCATTCCGTTGCTCGCTTATAAATACGAATCAATATCTATAATAGAGATTTTGGTAAGAAAATACAGTTTAATTATCACTTGAGATGATAAATATTCGAAAAACCATTATTTTTAACTTTTTTTAAATAAATAAAAAGTGTACTTATGTCTTCATATTTTTCATAATACATCCCAGGTTCTGAAAAAAAAAGAAGAAAATAATTCTTTTCAATAATTTATTGTAGTCATTTTTGATGAAAACGGGCTTTCTTTTAGGATATCAAATAACATAATTTTTTAATACAACTTGAGATGAATCTCAAAATTTTCCCTAATAAACCTCAACTGTATCAATATGAACTTAAATCTTATTAAACGAGGTGTAAAAGTGAGGTATCAGAACTATTGTTTGAGAGTGCCAAAAAAATCGCAAATAATTTATGATTTTTTCCACGAAACTTTGCTGAGTTCAGCTGCTAAATAGTCCTCTTTAAATAGTTTCAACAATGACAAAATATACTTTTACTTGAAGTAAATTTTGTCTAGTTTGCTGTGCAATAATTGTTAATAAATTAAATTAAATATTTTTGTAGTTAACGCTTTCTATTCAACAAAAAACGTGACTTACTTAAAAATCCACAAAACTTTAATTTCCTACTTTCCTGCTGAAAATCGGCCTAGAGAGAGAATCACTATATTTTCATAAATTGGTGCTGCGTATTTACATTGGATTGCTTCAAACACATCATACTTATTAATCTAATAAACAAGTATATATTATTAACAATATATATGAGTATAGTATACTATATATATATATATCCTTTTTTTATTATTTTTTTATGATTTCTTTCATTGATTTATTAGCATTATACATTCCTTTCTCTCTCCTTATACATTTCTCTTATTCTTCCTCAGATTCTCTCCTCTCCCTTCCTCATCTAACTCATAAAATGCATACAAGTAAACGTAGCTCTTGAGGTCTGCTATCACGCATTTAAATATTATTCACATCACTTCTTGGTCATCAACAACTATTGGTTTAGGTTACTAGGTTACATCAACAACTATAGATTTAAACCAAGTTTAGGTTACTAGTACATCCGAACCCGCCTGATTAAGTAGCGAGAGGACCTCCCAGAACCGAAAGGGGGCCGTTCAGTGTCCTGTCAAGAGGTTGTCTTATTGTTAGACACTTGGTTCTTATATTTAAGTGTTGAAGATGAAAAATGTAAAATATTGTTCGAATGTTTACTTTAGGGTTAGACGTTTCATTTTGGTTTGAATTCATCAGTCTTAGAAATAGTAAAGCGTTATATTATCCTTTGAAGTTTTTTGATAAATCTGTTTCATACCTAAACTATTTTCTTTTTTGTAATTTTGACGTTAGTGCTTGAGCTATCTGTTAGGAAGAGATGGATCGTGATTGCGTATAGATGGGTTAGCCCGGCCCTCACTAACTGGACACAGCATGGCTAAAGAGGTTGGACACGGCTCGAGCCGATCGCTCGCTCTCTGTCTAACTGCATTCCGGTACCTCGGGGGTTTGCAGGGATTGCAGTCTCGTAGTACTTCTCACGCTCCTCTTTATCACTCGTTTCATGTACCATACTTTTCGTATCCCAATTATTAAAATTACATCTTATAAAAGTATTTTGAATAGTTTATCTCTATCCGTCAATTTTTGGATGGAGATTGATTTAACCTTAAATAGCTGACATCCAAACAATCTTAAATAGTCAATAAAGGTCTTATGCTTTGCACTTATGCTAGGTAGACTGGATTATTATTGTATTGAAGAGAAAATAGGTGGCAGATCGCATTTAGTCAACTATTGCGGTTTAGTCAGCAATGCGGCCATGCAGTAACGTGGTCCATTAGTCATGTGATTAGTTATTTGATATAGCTAGCATCTTTTCGGTGATTTGGTTATGAAGAGGAATATTTTTTAATACATTATCAAGTTTATTTATAAGGCTGGATCGAATCTAGGGATGGGCAAAGGGTAGAATTCAGAGGTAGGAAAATTTTGAGAAAAAAAAAATTTAGTCTCAGTAAAAAATATTTCTTTCTAGTCCATGGTTGTTTTAACCTTGTCTTACTGAATGACATGGGTCGATATTGTATGATGATCATATTTATTTCCAAATAATGTTACCTAGACTTTTAAACTTTTGTTGAGAGCGGCGGGTGGCGAAAGGTTAAAAAATCCTAGTTCCGGCCCTGGTATCAGGAGATCTAAAGGTAACGACATTTACGAAATATTAGTTAACTTATGTGTCCGGACGGAGTGCCATGGCGCTGGTTGTACCATCAAAATTTTCGTGGGGGTCACAATTTTACTGATTTTTTTATTTTTAAAGGGAGAGGGAAAGACACATTTTGGCGGAGTTATGGTGTTTTGAGGGAACCATAGTTTTGTGGGATTTAAATTTTGAAATTATTTTTAATCAGGGTACAAGAGATAACATGGAATAGACCATAGCAATTGTAATGGTATATGATTTACAATTTTTATAATTCTGCTTTCGTTTGAACATTTTTTAAAAATATGTGAACAAAACAATTTCTTGGGAGGAGGGGTATGCGCTTTCGACGTTGGTGGGGAAGGTTTTTTCCCCCTTTATTTCCCTTCCTCACATTTAGGCTGTACGGGTTTTTTTTTCCGAGCTAGGGTAGAGGGCGAGGGATTATTGTCAGAATTTGAACTATTCTGAGCACCGGGATTTGAACTCGTAATCTTCCGTATATCAGGTTGCCGAATAACGCGTATTTTACAGCCCGTTTTGCCCCTTCACCACGGGAAATGGGGTTGGATACTCCTAGTTCTCAATATGAAAAATTATTTCGTTCATTTCTTCTGTTCCTAAAAGTAAAAATTTACGTGATTATGATTCTTCATATTGTTCTCTACGGATGTGTTACGTTACCGCCTACATTAAGTTAAGAAGAACTTAAGTTTTTCTAAATAAATTATTAAGTTGGATATTCTCTTCCAGGAAGTATTAGTCGATAAGAGACTGCATAATTTAATTTATTGCAATAAATAGTATGTACGAAGTAAATATCAGTAATTGATTTATTGCATAGCATCGCAGCGATTGGAATAATCTTGTAAAATTGTTGCGATGTTCAAAGAACTATTTACCAGATAACCTGAAAGGTAGAGAAGAGTTTTGATGAGTTGATTGAATGAAGTACTTTATATTACTTTACTGTTCACAAAACTAATATATATGAATAAATTATACAATAAGACGTATGTTTTGAACATAGAGTTTCATTAAGACTTCTCTGTACCATCAGTTATTTTTGTCTTAAATTCATTTGTATTACTCTGTTTTAAATTAATATATTAGTTAATGACGTTGTTGTAATTGAATTACTATAAGGTTATTGGATGAGGTAATTAAGTTGAGGCGGATATTGCAGGCTGAAGTCGTTACAGATAAGGTTCCAATGAGCTCTCAATATTATCCGGGTCGATTTCTTAAATCGAATCAATTGCTGCCATAAAGGACATCTGCGCCTTATTGTTCCATATCGAACAATTCTCTTCTGGAGCCCATTGTTTTATCTCTTAATGATAACGACACCACATGCGAGTGTGTGCAAAATAATTCCATTGTTTCCGAGAAGGATAGTGCATTCTTAATTATTCTCTTTTGATAACTTCTACAAAAAAATGATCTATGAAGGCATGGCGTTAGTTCAATTAACAATAAGTTCATTTTCTATCAACAGAAAGACACCTTAAGTCATACAATATTGTCCTTCCATCAAATGTCCTCTTTTTTTCGCCGTAATGGTGCAAGGATTCGTCCTGCAGCCTTCTGAGAGTCCTGATTCTAGAATTCATAACTCGATTTATTATTAACTCATAAATGTTTTGATGGTCATTTTTGAATTCGATGAATTTTATTTTAAACTCTTATTTATTTCATTATTTAACGTAATATTTAGATTTCAGTTTCTGGACATAACTTGCTTAAGATACTTCTTGTTATATGGTTTTTAGAGATTTTTCTTGTTTTATTAATACAAAGTTTCTTTAAGTAAATGAAAATGTATTTATTTTTCCTGGGATAGATGTTCTTTCTATAATCATCAAAATATCAAATAAAGGAAAAAAATGGGGGTTATTATAAAAATAAAAAGAATTGTTTGATTCCCTTGCAGAATAAATACAAAATATCGCAAATAATATTTAAACTAATATTATATTTTTTTTTAATTTGTTCTTCTATAATGGATTTATATAGTCTTTTTATTTATGTTATAATAATTTTTTAACTGTGCATTATTTAAAGACAATTATTCAAATAGTTTTCCTTTGATCCAACATGGGTATGTCATTGGTAATTTGTTAATAATTTAAATTGAAGTAGAATCAAATCTTTGAGTAGTATATGCTCTTGCTGAAGATATACAGATTTTCCCATAATGGGATGCCAATTTTGTCTACTTACTGTTTAATACAAGCTTTAGGGAAAGGTATTGTAACTTAAGCAAAAGTCATTTTTTAACAATAAGTATATATTAGTGATTTATTTTTGTTAAAAAGATTTTTAATGCTTTAAATGGCATATAATTAATTTTGGGTAATTCTTGTTTGCAATTCTGTCAACTGTAGTAGTTTCCAATTTCACCCTTTATTCTGAAAGGGTTCAAAAGGATCATCTTCCAGTTTACACCAAGATGGTAAATATTAGTGTGATTTTGCAATTTTGTAGTGTTTGGATTTTTACTAGTTATGATTTTATATTATTTTGTTTTTTGAGTGTTTATTTTATCCAATCTTAAATAAATAAAACTAACATTTTCAAGTTTTGATTTTATTTTACTTAAAATAGCAAATGATTTATCTCGTAATGTTTTGTTTTTTCTTTAATTGTGTGTGTGCTTATATAAGTGTGCTTTCTACAAAATATATGTTAATAGGTTTGAGTTCTAATAATGATTTTCCTTTGAAAACTAATTATGTCTTAATTCTCACAATCAATTCTTATTGTTTTAACATAGTTTTGCAAACTTACCAATTTTTAGAAAATAGTCTCATTAGATATCAGAGAGACAGTTTTAAATTGAAATATATTTTAAAACTATTTTCAGGCTTTTGATGCATGTCTTAGCAGTTTTAGTCTAAGAAATATTTAATTTAATATATACTATTACTAGCATTATTTAGTTTATGTAATGATTATGATGAAAATAAATTAAAACTGTCTTACTGAATGAATACTTTGAATTTGATTTATAAATACTGATGCAACATTTTCTTCCATAGAATGAAGTCATGGAATCAGTTACAACAGTTACAGAAAAAAAGAAAAAAAAGAAAAGTCTTGGAGGTGAAGAGGGAGGCGAAGAGTCTGTAACAGTTACAAAGAAAAAAACGAAGAAATCAAAAAAGACTGAAGGAAAAGAAAATCACATTTCGATAGTGAGTCAAATTTTACTTATCGTTTCATTTTCTTGAATTTTATTTTTATTGTTTTTCCTGAATTTTGTTTTTATCCTTTTTCCCTATTTTTTTTTATCAATTTTCTTGAATTTTGTTTTTATCCTTTTTCTTGAATTTTGTTTTTTTTTCCTTTTTATTGAATTTTGATGCTAACATTCTGAATTGCAATTTGATATTTTGCTTTGTGTGACTAACATAACTGTACAACAATAGATTGAAAATGGTCATAAAGAAGAGAATGAAGGAAGTATTTCTCCATCGTCGTTTGGAGTCGAAGATGATGATTTGTCAAATGTGTGTGTTAAAGACCTGGTAAGATTTGATTATGTTTTTTTTTCTTTAATATTATTTGTTTCTCTTCATCTTATATTAGTGTACTGTTTGGCATGAAAAATAAGTTGTTGGTTTTTTTTGTTGTTGTTTGAAGCTTTTATTGTTGCTTTATTAGTAACTACTTTATTTAAACACCTTTACATGATAAAGATTCAAAAGAATTATTTTTAAGCTCTGATTTTTTGTTTGGTTTGTTCACGAAATTTAACATGATATCAATTTTGATTAATATGACTTTGCATTATAAGAGGACAGATCTTAACAGTAAAATAGTTTAATTGCGACATGAGATGATCCAAAAATGTACTATCGAGGAACTTGGGCTTTAATCCAGGCTATGTGGTTATCTACCTGTTGAGTTTTGAAATAGTTTAGATATTTTTTACTTCCATTTTTGTGGGTGCTGAACAGGAATTTAAGTTTACCATCTTAATTTTTCTCCAGGATTGTCATATTTTTAATAAAAAACATGAAAAATTATATTTTGGTTAATTCGGTGTTTAATATCATGAATACTATCTCCCTCTCAAAAAATCATTAGGTATATCTTTTTTAAAATATTTTAAATTTTCTAAAATTTGAGTGTTTATGCAGTTTTGCAAGTTCAGTAGTTCCCATGATACAGTAGTTTAAAAAAATAGCATTTTTTTTTTTAAATCTAAAAACAAGAATTTCATATTTTGGCGAACTTTTTTTTGGCGAATAAAACAAAAACAGCTATTCTTAAAGAAAACATTAAAAACAAATTTAAGTGAATATAAATTCTCAAATTCTTGTTGAATACTCCCCCTTCCAAAAAAAAAATCACAGAAGTTCAAAGTATCAAATCTTTCCTGTTAAATCCCTTTTTTGAGCTCCATTGCCTTAGCTAGTTTTAATTTCATCCGATCTAAACATTGTCTATAATAGTACAAACTGATGATTAATGAACTAAAAGAGATGTGTATCTACAATTTTATTTTACATCTGTAAATTAGAATTTGCTAATGCCAATTCATTTTGGATTAATTGTTTTGTAATCAGATGTATCCATCCTCTACTATCATAGAAAAGAATGATAATAAGGAGTAATGATCCTCAGCTATGCGTATTAATTTATGAGTTTTTTAAATATTTTTTATTAGCTTCACAATACAGCATAACTATATTAAATTTACTAAAATATTTTAATTATAGTTTTTTGCTGTGTTCGTAAAATTACAGATACTGAAAAATTCAAATTCCTTTTCTATATTATTTAATTGTATGATTACTTCTTTTAATAAAATGAAATTAATTCTACCCCTATAAATATCAATGAAAATTGTTTGATGGTTAGAAAAAAAAATTGGTTTTAACGTTTAGTTGTTAATAGACTTCCATAACCTAGTGACCTTGTGTTAGTAATTATTAACCGTTTACTACAAACAAAGAGTCACAATCCAAAACATACAGTTATGCAACATAAGTTAAGTAGTCCTTCTCTACCTGTTATCATATCGGCTGTTGATAAGGAGCCTCCACCCGGCTAACATGTTCGTTCTTCCGTTAGCATGGTCTATCATAAAGAGGTCTATATCAACTCCCGATCTTACTGCTACAGACAGGGTGAGAACTAATTTTACCTTCTCATTTTGTTTACTATGTTTTAATTTGGTAATTTTAATTCCTCTTATGATTTCCTTGAAATCTGATGTTTCAGCCAAAGATTTTATACCTTATTTTCAATTCTACCAAGCCTAATAATTATTTAAAAATAATTATCATCATTGAATATAAGAGCATTGGTATATTTTTATAAATTCAGCTTTTTCCAAAACTTAAATTTTAATTATTTAATTTTCATAGTTAAAATTATTTTTTAAAAAAAATATATTCAAGATATCATAAATTAAGGCCAATATATTTTTGTTTAAATATTAATTTTGTTTATTTAAAAATTTTCAAATGTAGTTCATATTATATTTTGAAAATCCATAATACTATGTTAGGTATGCATAAATAATTAACAGTGAACAATTTAATGTTTGAAATATATCAATTAAAAACAAAACATGTCTTGTTTAGTATTTTAAATAATTCTGTTTGGTATATTGAAGGATATTCTGTCTGTGATAAGTACTAACTATTACTAAGTGTTTGAAATATTTTATTTTAATGCTTTTATCTGATTTATTTTATTTATGCCTGAAACTTCTATTGCATGTGTTTTTGACTTTATGTAGAAATTAAACTACGTTAATGAAGCAAGCAAAAGCTTTAATGGGGAAACGAAAGCCACTACAGAGGTTCCCGTTCTTCCAGCTGTCCCGATCAGAGAACTTGTAAGTATTCATTTATAACTGCTAAAGTCTCTACAAAAGTTCAAAACTATAGTAGTGTGTTTCCTATGGAAGAACAATGCCCTTTTAATAAATATAGTATATCCTACCCTAATTTAATTGTTGAACAGTCCATTCAAAGTTGTTTGTTAGGACATTGGTCCCTTTAAACAGATTATAGTACACAATATTTTAGTTTGGTACTGGTACGGATTTAATGGCTTATATTCATAGCTTCTCGGAAATCCCATTATAGCAATTCATGCCTCACGTATGAAGTTTTTATGCTGTTAAACATGCTCAACAGTAAACTATAGCCAAAGAAAGCCCAGCAGTGGCCGGTAGTTATTTGTTCTGTTAAATCACCTGTGGATTGACCCTGGGGTCAGGAGACCCTCCTGGAGCATACTCAGCCTATAAAGTGAATATTATTAATTATATAATAAAGATGATCTCTGCCACATCACTCCTTTACACAACCACTGACCAAGAAAAAATATTTTCTTCTAAGTACTGAACTTAAAACTCTTCATTGGTAGTAGTGGGTGGTACAGGTATTTTGTTTTTTTAATAATGTCATTATAAGCATAGATTTTCCATTTTGATAGGGTGGGAGAGTATATTATATGTACAAAATATAAATGAATTGAATTATATGCTTACAAAAAACATGTTTTTATTTTAATAAAAGTAGGACATCCACAAATATAACCGGGTAACCCCTAAGGATGCAAAGAGCCAAATTGACCATAATATATTGTAAATAAGAAACATCAGAGCAACATCCAAAACGTAAGAAGATATTGTGGAGCCGACCGTGCTACGATTAAAATCAAACTCCAACAAAGTTAATTAATGTTTACTTAAAAATTATATGTTTATTTTCAATGTTAAACGTGTTAAAGGTCAATTTGTTGAGTTTTCATGTCTTTGATACCTCTCCTTTTATCCTCATATTTTTGTGTCTTATAAAATCCTAAATTATTTTTTAAGATTAATATATTAGTACATTATATCAACCAGGTCCATGTAAGTATTCAGTTGCAAGTATTGCATGGCATTTGCGTGTGGTAACATTTTTTTTTAACTGGAAATTTCAGAGACGCAGTTTTGGTGATATTCATAAAGCATGTGAGAATACTGATCCCATTCAGTCTGACAATTTGGTTAATGAAAAACAGCTGGTAAGATTCACTTGATTGTTTTATGTTCTCTTCTTAGTTTTGATTTTTAAACTAATACTAATTTAACTATAACAATGTAATTCCTACATGTATTTTTGTTAGTTATTTGTGAATTGCATGATATGGTTCAAGGATAAAATATTTGTAGTGCTAATAAGCCTTTTAAAGTTCTTTTTTACTAATGTTATTGTGTTAAAAAGTTCAATCACTACACTTATTTTATGTAGGGCATTCAATAATGAAGTTCTTATTTTCTTTTTTGTTTACTTCATTTTCTTTATCTGTCATTATTTATCATTAGTAAGTCTATTAAAATATTTATTTTTGAGTGCAGTGATTGATTTCTTGTTATTTCTAACCAAATGGTTGTACTAGCGGGCAAGGTCTCTTGGAGATTTGACACGAATCGACAATCAGCGAAAAATAGTGACTGGTGTGAATGTCAAGGAATTGGTAAGGAATGATAATGCCTTAATTCATTAACCTGGTGATGGAGACCATTACATATAAAGTTATATTTCTTCAGTAGTTTCCTTTTTTCCTGGGTTATTTATTAATAAGAAGTCCTCATTGAATATTACGTACAGCCAATAACTATCATTTAAATATATTCCTTATGATCTATGAGCCTATCTTAATTTCCTGATAACTTTTTACATTTTGTGTTGTAAAAAGTTGATAATATAGTTTGATATCTCTGCTTAGTTTGTATCCTTACCTTAACCTGTATAGTTTCTACCAAATTAAATGAAACCATTAGCTTCTTAAATTTATTAGCACTTCTGAATTTTATTTGGCACATATTTTATATTAGAAATTTGTAATGCAATAAAACCTTGATTATCAGGATTTTTTAATTATGTTTCCAATTTACTAATCTTGTTGGGAAAGGAAAGTAAGAGAAGTAATTTTTATATCGTCACAGATTATCAAACAGTACTGTGAAAACAATTAAAGTTTATTTTTTCATCTTGTTAGTGTTCACATTTATTTGTTTTTGAAACTATTTTCAAGACAATTAGTTTGGAATATAATAAAATAATAGAACTTCTCTGGATTACAGCTTTATACCAATTTGAAGATCTTGCTCCACTTATATACTACAATTTGACACCAGTCTTTATCATTTTCTTTCTGCACCTACCTATACTAAGGGTAGAGAAAGTATAGTTATGGGTCAAAAACTTTTTGTTATCTCATTTAATTTTCATGTTTTAAAATCCATAGGAGTGGTTTCTAAGTAACCTAGTAAATTTGAAAAAATCTTTCCATCTCAGAGGAATTTTAGAGATGGTAAACAGTTATAAAAAGAAAAAATGTTACTAGAAATATTTTTCTAAAATTCTCCGCTTTCCAACGATATATTATACGTATACATTCTGACTGTTATTTCCGGAGATGCATTTTCAACCTGGATAAGCATTTTTCTTTTTTTCTCCAGTTTTCAATTATCTCATTCTTTCAAACTTCATATTTAGCCATTTTTTATAGTTACTGTCAATAAAAGAGGGTTAATATTTTTAAATAAACCATATTAAAGGAGGAAGACATATATGAAAATTGGATATTTAAGCCTTGTAGAGTGACATCATTGGGGATAAGACCTGAATGATATTAAAGACCACTTAATTATACAGTGATACACCGAGTTAAATCAAAATTGTTCAAGCTGTTTTTGAGAAAAATGTGCAAAATCGATGATGTAAAGTGACACTTCTGGTTAGCCTATTTAAAAAAAAAAGTTACTGTGAAATTCCAGACATATAGATGGGCTGTCTTTTTTTCATTTTTGTCGGAAATGGTCAAAGAAAAACCAAGCTAATAAACCAAATATGAATTTTAATTTTAAGATGTATAATAACTTCTTAATTAAGAGGTTATCATCAGCAATTACAAACTATATTTCATATAATGCAGTAGCAGATCCAGGTTTTAATTTTAGGGACTTCTTTTTATGAGGGAAAGCTATATGTATAAAAAGCTTTCCCATTATCGTTTTATATATATATATATATATATATATATATATATATATATATATATATATATATTATATATATATATATATATATATATATATATATATATATATATATATATATATATATATATTTACAACTTTTCCTTAATCGACCTTTGAGTATTAAATTTAAACTTAACTATTTAATTGGGAATAAGGTCACTTATTAATTATTTAATAAATTATTGAATGTTCATTTCTTCTATGTTTATTGACGTTTCGATCCCGGTATTTTCTTTTTATAAGTCAACGATGGGATCCTCTTCAAAGCTAGAATTTTAAAAAATAGAGCTTCGATCAGGCCAGGGACACATCGACAGTCTCAGCACCGTTCACTAGCACATATATTCAGCTACTCAGTGGATGGTACTGAGACTGTCGGTGTGTCCCTGGCCTGATTAAAGCTCTATTTTTTAAAATTCTAGCTTTGAAGAGGATCCCATCGTTGACTTATAAAAAGAAAATACCAGGATCGAAACGTCAATAAACATAGAAGAAATTAACTTTCAATAGTTAATAATAATTAATAAGTGACCTTATTCCCAATTAAATAGATAAGTTTATATATATATATATATATATATATATATATATATATATATATATATTATATATATATATATATATATATATATATATATATATATATATATATATATAAAGGAAGGAGATGGTCCGGGATTGCGGTCATAATTAGGCTAAATAGTGGTAAAACTATTTTATTGAAAGCCCAATCGGCTTTCAATAAAATAGTTTTACCACTATTTAGCCTATTTATGACCGCAACCCCGGACCATCTCCTTCCTTAATAATACTTTTAGGGATAATATTTTTAAATTTTCTATTTTAGAGGCTCTAACACCAATTCTCTTTCCCCTCCCTCTCTCCAGAGGTCCGCCAGTGATATAATATTACTTTTCCAACAATTTAGAGTACCTCAAATGGTTATTAAGTCTTCAGGGGTGTGGTGGTTGAGGAGTCTAACGTCTTGTTAGGAAATCCTAATAAATTGAAGTTTATGAGTTCAAGTGCCAGGGAGATTTAGGCAATAATCCCCTTGCCATCACCCCCTGATCCAGGAAAACTCCATGTAGTCTAAAAGGCAAAGAAGGAGAGAAAAAAGGTCACTTTCTGTTCAATTTTAACTAAAGTGTTTGGTTCAGATTGATGGAATAGTTGCAAAAAAATGGATTGAATGAACTAAATATTTTTTACATGTATGCACAAGTGTAAAAAAAATATTTTATTGCTTTTCACTCATTAATTTTGGATACAAATAAGCTTAAATGTACTTTCTGAATATTTGGGCTATATTATTGGGAAAATCGGCCAATTTTTTATATTTCTCTTACGAAAATTAGTACTGCTTGGACAGACTATGCCATGTGTCATTGATAAAAAGAAATTATATTCTGAAGGAGCAATGTCTCTGAAAAATGTATTCAATAATTAAATTTAATAATTGCCTCATCAGACAAATTTTATAGCAAGCAATGATTTAACCATAATACTGAGTGTACAGTATCAATTTATTTTAAATTGTTATTGTTTATATAAAGATATGTTATTATTGGGCCACTTTTAACTTTTGATACTTCTATTGAAATTAAATTTCTTTTTTATATCATGTTGGACATTTTTTATTTGTCATTGTTTTGATTGTTTATTGTTTTATTCGTTTAACTAAATGTATATTTATTGCTAATGAAATGCATGTCTTGTAACTGTGTTCTTCAAGCCTATTTCTCTTCTTATTTACTCTGTTTAATCGAGGTTTTACTGTAAATAAGCTATTTATCATTATTTTTTATCGAACAAAATTATTAATGCATGCGTCAGATATATTTAATATTTGGTCATGGATAATTTTTTTTTTTTTTTATATATAATTGTGTTTATTTAAGGGTTTATAATAATATTCATGCATGTGTTCATGTGCGTTAACTATAAATGCATGCAGGCTGCGCAATACTGGAGGACTATCTCAATTGAGAACAATATCAACGAAAAGGAAAAGAGGATTGGCCGATTAGATGTAAGTAGTTGTTAGTGCTTGCTTTTCTATATTATGCTCTTGTGCTGTTCTAAGCATGTGTATTGTAGAAGGAAACATCATTAAACAAGTATATGGTAGTTTTATTACTAACCTTGTATTGATTAAAATTTGTATTTATTTTTAGCATCCTACATTAGAAAAACTTAATGATATTTTACTCATGTTTTCAAATTGAATCATAATTTTAAAAGCCATTTCGGTACTTGTATAATAGCAAGGTAGCGTCCGACTGCTATCTGCCAATGTTTATAACCTTAACACTGATAACTCTTTTAAGCCACTGATAATATCTTTGTAGTCACATTTATTGTATTATATTCATATTATTATATCTTCGTATTCATATTTAGTGCATTGCATTGATATTATTGAAATTGGGAACAAACAAAAAAAAAATGTAATAATAAAAAAAATACAAGTTGTATATTAAATAGACCAAAACATTATACATTTATAATTAAAAAACATTGCAACATATATATATATATATATATATATATAAATAAAATAATAAAAAAAGGCAAAAAATAGACAAAAATAAATGAAATAATAAAAAAACACTTAAACAGGATATGTACATATAAAAGAAATAAATAAAGAATAAAAGAATAAATGAAGAAATAAAAGAAACGATATAAACAAAATATAAACAATTTTATTTTAACTTAATTTATTTTGGTAGGGTTTTCTTATAGAAACAGTTTTATTACAACTACGAAACCATCTTCATTTAATCTTCCTGTCGAACTTCATTTGATGACCTTCATCGCAATATTTCACATTTGCAAATATCCCGGCGTCTTGAAAATATTTGGTAGCCTCTTCTCCATTCCCACAATGTGACAACATCCATAATTAAATGAGACTAACTCACAGCTTAGGAACAAAAAATAAACAAGGGAATAAATTAGGTTAGAGGAGATAAGGAAGGCTATGTGAAATGAGATTAGATAGCAACGGAGGTTTTGACAACCTCCCCCCGCTATTATACAATTATAACTATTATATAACTATTATACGCTATTATACCCGCTATTATACAAGTGCCGCCATTTCTTTTCACCCTCTACCACACACTAGATCCAAGAGATCCATTCCCACAATTTTTTTTTTTTTATATCATTTGACTGATAATTAAAGTTTCTAATTTGAAGCCTAGTCATTTTCTTTTATACTTACTAGGAATCATTGAAAGCTTTATGAAATATATTTATACACCAATATATGTAATACACCAATTTGTTTCAACTATTTATAATTGACCTCCTATTATCTACATAATTGTTTTTATTTTCCTGCTTGTAATGTAAATGTTTTTAATACCTAGCCAAAAACTTTCTAGAAAATCAAATTTCTCTAATAATTATATCTGCTCATGTTACATCTCACATCGCATATATTGCAATGTTAGTTCAACTCAATAAAATTTACCATTACCAAATTTCATTTATACTAATTTTTTTAGTACATTAAACTATTTATTTGTTTTTTATACATCTACTAAACCATTTTTTTTTTTACTTTACTTTAATGTTGTATATTTGTTAAAGACAGTTGATCATTTTATTCTTTCTTTATATTCACTGTAACTTTTTTCAATTCACACATTAAGTTGGATTTGCAAAGCTATTTCTTAAATTTTTGGAATTATCTGTTATCCTTTTACAACATGTTATAAATTGTTTTATTTTTTTAGAAATCAAGCTTCAGTAAATTTGATCAACTCAGCAAAAAAACAGTGCTTCATGTACGATCATCAGACCCAGCTAAAGCACAAAAAACATTCAGTCAGGTAATTTCTTTTCTTTTCTTAAAATAGAAATCTTATCTTTTTGGTTGCTTATTGGTTACACTGGTAAAATTTAAAGTCTTCCACACACATGACATTTTAAAAACTTTAATTCAATCATAAACACCAAAAAAATCTAAGAAAAAGTAGAAGTATAACACGAATGAGTGCAGCACATGTAGTGTGCCACAACAGTTTTCCAAGCGATTTCAAAAAGTAAAGAGAATTGTAAGGGTCAGGGACAGGTACAAAGATAGCAGAATGACAATAAAGAGAGTTTGATAAACGAATGTCTGCTATTACCACGGCATCCAGACAGTTCGAGAGATTTGATAGCCAAAAAACTGAGGCTGGTACATTCCGTGCACCAGCGCGTCCTCTCGAAGGTTAAATATTGTTTCTAGTTCAGATATTTGCAGATATGTCTTATGATGGCATTTAATACAAAAACATTAAATTTTCATAAATAATCTTGGAGAAATTTCTTTCATTATTTTTATTATTCTATTTTTTTTTTAATGATGAAGTTTGAATTAAAGCTGTTAGCTAATAGTATCATCGGAATAGAATGAATAAATAATGTGTTTTGTATAATTTTCAATTGAGTAAACAATGTTTCAAAATTTTCAGTAATTGTGTTACAAACTGTTAATAACTTTTAGTTTATAACAAATATGTTAATTTTGTTTCCAGGGTTCTGCTGATGGACAAGTTACTGTTATGTGCAAGGCTTGCGAAAAAGCAGTGTTCGCCATGGAACAGATCAAAGCAGAACGGGCAGTTTGGCACAAAAACTGTTTCCGCTGTCATACATGCAACAAACAGCTAACGTATGTACTAATTCAATTAATTAATTAACATGATTCAATAGGTTTGAGAGAAATTTATATATTGCTGTTACAGTTGTTATTACTTTCACTTACCTATATATGAAATATATAGTAAGAGAAAGTATTGCTTTTATTATACATTTTGTGAAGTAATATTGTGTCTAATCTAATTAAAAATAATTTCTAATGAAATTTATTTATTATTTAGGGTTGATATTTATCAAAGTCATGAAGGTGAATTATATTGCAAACCTCATTTCCGAGAGTTGTTCAAACCAAAAGTGGTATTGGATGAAGAAGAACCTGGTAAGTTACTTAAAAAAAATAAGTTATATATACCTACAAAGGCATTCATTACCTTAATTTCATATATTTCATGTTACAACACATTTTTTTAATTTCATTGCTTCAGTTATAAATTTATCGAGCTGTAAAATTATCTTTAAGTAAAAAAATATTGATTTTAAGTTTAAAGTATTTAAATAAGTAGCTGCAACAACCATTCATTTAAACCTGAAGTTCTGTATAATATTATATGTAATTTGTCTTTTGTTATTCCTTAATTAGAACTCTTTCGTTAATATATGTGAATAATCCTAAAGGTACTTAGTATGTTATTGTTTACAATTGTTTTTTAATAACTAACAAAAAGGTTATTTAGTAGTTAGAGGCATACAATTATTTTAGTCATAAAATATTTTGTATAATTGTATCAATATTTCATAGGTTCCATAAATCAGCTAATCTAAGTTTTTATTAAAAAGTTCTTTTTTGAACAATAAAATGTTTTTATTAGTGAGACGTCGTAAGCCAGAAATGATAATAAGAGAAAATCAACCACTTGAGTTGCCTCCTGAAGTTGTCAGAGGTATTTAAAGTGTTCATATCTTAAGGCGTTGGAGAAATTTTGCTTTTATTAACTAAAGAAGAGTGTTGCTGTTTATCATTACTATGATATTTAATTAATATGACTGATTAGCATGATGTTAATTTGTGTATTTAAGAAAATCAAAAATTTTGTTTTAGTCATTCTTTGGTTTTTGCATGTTTTATTTCTTTTTTTTTTTAATTTACTTAAGAGTGACAATATTAATGTTGATTTGATTTTTACTTCCTTAACTACCTAATAAGGATAAATGGTGCGTGGAAATTGATAAACTTTTTGTTTATTGAAAAGTATCATAATTTACTAGCTATCATAAAAAGTGACTTAAAAAAAGTCATGGTATCATATTTTTTTGTCGTTGTTTCCTATTTTTAAGTATCATTGTTGTCTTAGACTGCTGCACGATTTTCAGTAAAAAATTTAAGGCAACGTAGCGGTTAGTTCAGATTTAAACAGAACACAAAACAGTTTTAGATATGCAGAGATTTGGGCAATCAATGTAAAATTAATAAAAAATGATATTTATATCTTCAATGATCCACTTGATTTTTTGTTGGCTTTTAGAGAGATCTTACTGATGAATCCCAAGATTTTTTTTTCTTGTGTTAACAGGGTCATATACGTTCTTCTTGAATCCTCATTATTCATTCCCAGGGTCATTGTCAACCGAGATTAATGTTCAAGTGATTATTCAATATAAGATAGGGCATATTGTGTACGTTCAATTAAGGTACTCACATCGATTAATATCTTGGTTCTTGAGCTTAGCACTTCTAATCTATTAGTAGAAACTTTTTTTCTCACTCTTTAGAGCCTATTGATTACTCATGTTACACTTTTTCATAATAAAAATTCGTGAGAATTTTTTTCTTATTACTCCTAATTAGCACATTTTGGTTTTAAAAACATAAAAAAAATGTTTAATACCTATTGAGAATGAGAGATTCATTTAATAATAACAAAACCTAGTGTATATGTATTGAAATATGTTGGTGGCTTGTAAAGTATCCTTCTTATTGGTAGTTCATTTTACTGAATATATCAATTAAAATTTTTAATTTAAAAAAAATTTAATTAAAGAGATAATTAATCTGATTAATAGAGGACATCTTTTTAAAAAAATATTATGAATAATGTTTACAGGTAGTTAAGGAAGAAAGTAAGCACTCAATAAATAACTTTGGTTTTTACTTATTTTTTATGTTTATTGCGTAATAACCTTCAACCTCATCTGGAAAGTTATTCTACTAATTTATGGTGTAATCAATTAGTCCATTCATATTCATATTCATTCAGTAATCAGTTCTATTTACATATTAACATTAGAAGATACAAATTTGTTACTTTCTATAGCCTCATGAAATATAATAAGAGAAACTATGTTCATTATTACTTCATATGTAGGATTTTCCTATTAATTTCAATTGTGTATATTTTTCTGAGTTTTCGGTATCAATAAAGTCTATTTTAAGACAGATGTGAGGATTTTTTTTTGTCAGCAATAGGTGCTTGAGGTTAATTAGAGCAGACTGAGGGATAACCCTTCACACTTCAGTTGCTCTTTTCGCTTCCTTGCCCAGGATAAATGAGAGATATCGTCAGGCTCAATTATTTTTTCTTTTCTTTTTTTTCTTATTCCTTTCATTAGTAGTCTGACAGTAATTGCTCTCCAACTTAGTCTTACCAATGGTTCTGTTGAGTGATGTTGTTACCTTGTTTAATTCAGGTATGATACTGGCCATATACTGATTTCCAATTAATGATCTGATTTTGAGAATGCTTTATATGCATTTTTCATCAATTTTCTGAGTTTTCTAGTAAATCCTGAAATTAATAATTCACTCTGTACTTTACTGTCAGTGTGTGTGAACTATACTTATCAATAAGTTATGTACTTATTGATTATTTAATATTCTTTAAGCTACCTAATAGTTCTGTTTTTGTGACCTGATTTGTTAGAATTTGTAATATTAGGACGTCTTTAAATGAACCTGGATAAAGTGCATAAACATTTTACTCTAATAACTTGAAAAGTGAGTTGTTGGCTTCTACAATCAAATAAAGATGGCGATGTCAGAAAGAAAGGGATGGGACAATGGAGTGTTCAAAATCACAAGTATGTTCCATATGGTCAAATTTTGAGAAATAATTAAAATTCAAACTTAGTTTTCTCCAAAAAATTAGAATGTTGACTTAACTATTTGCTCACTAGATATTCATATACTCACTAAATATTATTTTCCTTTAGAAAGTAGGTTCTAAAGTTTTTTTTTTTTTTTGTCTTTTATCTTATACCTTGATCGTCTTGAGCTATTTCAGCCATGCGATGTCTAGCAGCCCAGTAAATTTCACCTTCTGTCCTGGCTTTGTTTCTAATGTTCTGTAGTATGGGACAGGTCAGTAGATGCATAGCTGGATCTAAAATAAGATACAAAAATTGTTCTTTGTATTGCAATATGTTTTTGTTATTAATAATTCTTACAGGGGAAATAATAATAATTGTATTTTTAATAAAAATAATATTACAGCCAGTGACAAACCTGATCTTGGATTGGAAGAACTGGGACAATTAAATGTCAAGTCTCGATTCCAAGTCTTTGAGAAGCATGATCAAACTGATGGAGAGCTCGAACGTTCACCTACCACTGTTAGCGTAAAACGTTCCTCATCTATTCTCAGCAAATTAGCAAAGTAAGTAATTAATAGATTACTGATTAGTGTTATTTAGCTTTTGTTTTCAAGAAAATTTATCTTAACATATATGTGTTTAATATATGTCTAATTAAGCGAATTACTATGAATCGTAGTTCTATGAAAGAAACACAACTTTGAAAAATAGCTAGGATGCTCAAATTTCTATTTTGTACAATATAAATTACCAATAAGGTTAATTTTTCTTTTTGCAAAAATAAAAATAAAGTGGATTTGAGGCAGGTTTTGGATCAATTTTATAGAATCAGGGATTTATAGTGATTGATTTCTGGGGCATGAGAGCATCCACTGCCAGGATTCTTTGTATTCCATTCCATCTGCCAAAATACTTTTTTATCTTTACTTACCTATTTAAGAAGTAAAATATGAGAAAATGTTGTGATAATGAAAAATTTCAATTTGGTTGGAAAAACGTGGTAAGAAGTTATAATAACCGTTGATAACTTTAGCCTTGATAATAGATTTAAATAATTAATATTAACTTGATATCTTTTGGCAATATTGAAACAATCCACAACATAGTCTATTAGAATATCTTTTTTTGTCTATATTCCTTTTTACTTCCACTAACCTATATATGTAATATATAGTAATGAAAAATATTGCAATCGTGAAAATTTTTGAACTTTTTCCTTAAAATCGCCTAACCGGAAGTACCACTTTATATCAACGGGTGTAACATATTTTTACAATTTTCTCAAAAATGGCTCTAACGATTTTGATTAAACTCGGTGTATCATTCTTTAATTAAGTGGTCTTTAATATCATTTAGGTCTTATCCCCAATTATGTCACTTTACAGGACTTAAATGCACAATGTTCATATACGTTTTCCTCTAAAGTACCTTTAATATGGTTTATTTAAAAATATTAACCCTCTTTTATTGACAGTAACTATAAAAAATGGCTAAATATGAAGTTTGAAAGAATGTGATTATTGAAAACTGGAGAAAAAAAGAAAAATGCTTTTCCAGGTTGAAAATGAATCTCCGAATATAACAGTCAGAAGGTATATGAATAATATATCGTTGGAAAGTGGAGAATTAAAAAAAAAAATAATATCTAATAAATAAAGTTTTAGAAGGTAACAGAGAGTGAAGAAAAAAATATAAATAATAATTTCTGAAAACTACTGTTATCTAACGTAAATCACATGTTTCCCAGGAAATTAAATGAAATTTTCTTACTATATGCAAACTTTTAAATGTTTTTCTAAGTTTGAAAAAAAAGTATTTAAAATCCACGGAATCAAGCCAATGCCATTATTTAAAACACTATTTCATTGTTCTTGTGTGAAAGAAGAAGAAAAATATTTCATGGATATGTTCATAACCTCGAATATATTTACTATAGAGTATTAACTCTAGATCAGATATTATATTTGAATAATTATGTATCTATTGGCCGTTTATTTGGGAAAATCAGCTAGTGCACATTGTCACTAGTCTAACATTGCCAGAAAATAATTTCTATTCAAAGTAGAGCGGTAAGTGAAAGTTGTGTGTTGCGCGCACCAGATTTTTCTGTATGGGTTTGACTTGAATGTCCATCATAAGTTTTTAGGAACAATTGGGCACACCTTTTAATTTATCCTTGCTTTTTTTAATTAATGTTCTTGATCTTGATTTTAAACAATAATTGATAACATAACTTTATTTCACTAATTACTAGTAGTGTGACAGTGTTGTGAGACAGGGGCCGGCTCATATTTTTAGAATTTTCACATTTTTATTAGTTTCAAGAAAGTAATTCTAATGCATTTATTAATTTAATAATTTCTAATGAAATAAGTTTTCTGTTTTTCTTAAATTGTAAGCAGATTAAAATCTAAGCCAAAATATTAATTTGACATTATATAACTATAATGAATACTATTATATAGGTACATTATTTACTATTATTATTACAGTTCATTTTAATACTAATATTATTATTTTATGATTTACAATTACATTATTAATTGTTTTTTTATTTTATTTTTGTAGATTTCAGAAGAAAGGTATGGACATTGGGGTGACCGATGATTCGCTAAATGGTTTTGTTTATGTAGAATCTTCTTCCAGCGAAGAGGAAGAAGAAGATGAAGAAAACGAGGAGGGTATTTATTTTATTTTAATAATTTTTTTTATTTATACAAAATCAAATTCATGTTATGCTTGTGATATATATATATATATATATAATACATTTGTTCTCACTCCACTAAACAATGATCTAGAATTTGAAAGAAAGTATATTTTTAACCCTCTGATGGGTTTGCTTTTTAATTCTAAATATAAATACATTACTTTTTTTCAAACATTGTCAACTAATCTTTGCATGAGTTTCTATATCCTGTTCTTTTGGATAAGTTTTGGATTAATATTCAGTTATAAATTTGTTATATTGTTTTACATTATATTGAGTATAGGATACTTATTATTCGATTAATACCCATTCTTCTTTTTCTAATTAAATGTTTATTCTTGATATTTCATATGTCTTTTATGATTACATTAATAATTATAATCTCCTTTTTTTTATGTAATGTATTGGATTTAGTGATGGTAACAGACATTTTTTTTGTTTTCAAAATTATTAATCTGTCATTTTTTTTATTTGTTTTAATTTAAACAATAAAAAAAAGTATGTACTTTTCCAACTGCTTACTTTTACCCACCCGCAGAGATGGATGGCTCACTAAACCAATCTGCTATAAAAGCATTTATAGATAAAAATGAAGTACGTATTTTAAACAGAGGAAGATGACATTAATAAAACAATAAATCAATATCCCACTTATTGTTATGGAATCTATTGAGTTGTAAAGAACCATGTTTAAAAATTTTGAAAACAGTTTAATTAAAACTTATAATTGGTTTGAAATATTGGACAATTTGAGCCTATATAAATTAAACAAATATTTGTTTCTAAAAAATGTAATGTTTCTTTAATTAAGGTTTGATGTTACAGGATTGAAATTTAATTCAATAAAAAACACATTTTCTTTCTATATAATTTTTTATTTCTGCGCAACTGGTTTTGATTGCAGCAAGATAACATCTTTTTATTGAATTTAAATGTAAGGTTTTGTTTTCATAATTTTAAATATATGACTTTTTTCCATATTACTGAATTTAATTTAATTGAAATTTATAAAATTGATCACTAAAAGATATCTTCCATAATTATATATATATAAATAAATATATATGTATACATATAATTTCATTGGTTTATTTATGATGATTTCATCAACCCAACGTCTTTTTTTAGCTTCTTTTTCCCATTGTTGTTTTTGAAATATTAAAAGCAACATTAAAACAGTTGAATGAAAATGTCTGATAATTAGGTGTGAGCATATAGTTTAGTTTTGTAAATAGTATGAAATGAAACGAAATATATACAAACTTCTATGTACAATAAATTGTTTTCACTTTTTATAGGAGAGGAAAAAGGTGTTGTAAAATGTAGAAGGAAAGCTAGAGAAAGGCCAGTGAGCTTCAGTAAAATGGACGATGTGAAACGTAATTGGGAATCAGTTCAACAATCCCAAAGAAGAGAGGAAATGCGTGAAGAAAGAAAACAAGAGTTACAACAGATAAGATCTCGGCTCTTCCAGGTGAAATTTATTTTATAGTTTTATTAAAAATATACTTCCTATAGCACATAAAGAATAAAAGGAGCAAGATTAAAAAAATGTCGTTTTTAAGTTAGTAACATATTAGCATTACCAGTTTCGTCATTGCAGCTTAAAACATTTTTTCTAGTGCTAGGAATTTTCATCAGAATGTTTTAAGTGTATTGTATACTTTACTATTGTGTGTTTGTACAATTGTTCTCTCCATTAGACTTTCCCATTGTCTTTCAGCTGGCTGTTTTTTTTATTATTTTTTTTTTCAGTTTCTTATCTCTTCCTTGTAAAAGTATTTATAACATTTGATGAATGCGTTCGATAAAAAAAATATATGCATTTCGGAGTTATAAAAATGTGTTCTACAATTTGCCAGACCTATGAAATATTGCAGATATTTTAATAACAATATTCTATATCCCAGAATTATAAAAAAATCAAACTAAAAGGCCCTTGAAATCTAGCCCGATCTACTTGCATACTCAATATCCACAAATTGTGAAATTCTAAGAAAATAGGCCCATTATTCAATGTTAGTAAATTGAGCCCCATTATCTTCTTTGATTTCAACAATTATACTTATGGAATGGGAATTAATTTCACAATGAACACAAGTAGCGATAGGATCAACTCAGTCAAAAAATTAAGAAAAAAATAAAAATGTTTCTTGCATTAAAAAAAACAAAAGCAAAAAGCTTAGAGAAGATTCAGGCATATTTTTTTTAAATTTCTCATGTAAGGATTAATGGAACAAATTAGAATACCGAAACCTTTCAGTTGGTTATCTCTTAGAAAACTGTGTTGTCTTATATATTACAATACCATAGTCAAACAACTCTAAGATAGCACTAAAGTTGGAAACAATAGTGATATAAAGTTTCATAATGTAAAGTATTGTTTTAAATGTTTTTAACTAATTTGTTAAATTTTATTGAAGCGATACAGTTATGGTACAATTAATAAAAAGTTGAATATAAAACATATGTTTTTATTACCTTTATTGTTTTTGATCATAGTAGTATTATAAACATTAAGAGTTTATTATTGTTTTTAATAATGTCAAATACTTAAAACTTATTTTTTAATATATCAGAAATATTACATAAATATACTTTGGCAATAAATATTTAAATGGTTTACTAAGAAACATATATTATGTGAAATAACATGCATATTTTTTGAAGTGCTATTAATTTAAGTGATATCTATAACTATGGCGTTACATTTTGTAAGTATTTTATTTTTAATTGTTACTTAATAATCCAGTGATGTTATTCTTATTTTATAGTTCATTATGCTTTAGGAGTCTATACAATTTTTGACTTACTATTTGTCATCCTATTTGTTCAATGTTCATCGTTATGATGGATTAAATTGTAAATATTCTATATTCATTTTTGCTTTGCATGTTCTATGGAATCGGCTTCATATATTCATGACGAGAACTCGTTGCTATTTATGTTCATAAGGTCTTTAAGTTGATCAATTGCTTGTGTGTTTTCTAATTAATCTTACTTATATAAGCTTATCATTGGGTGAAGTACCAAACCAAAGCAACATAAATGTCTTTTTTCAAAATTAATTTTATTGATAAAATAACTTTTTTTTGTGACTTTCTGTTAGAGAAAACAGAGTCAATTTTCTGACAAGCAGACCTCAGACCTAGTTGATGAAAATGAGTAAATTCACTTTACTGAAACCAGTTATGTTTGCTTGTGTTAATATGATTAATTTTTGTTAAAGTCAAATCTGCACTTAAAAAACAATATTTAGAATCTTTTTCAGGTTATTCAAACAAAAAATCTGCTAATAAATATTTTAAAATAAGCATGTAATTTTTTAAGACAAATTATCTGTTTGAAATCAATGAAAAATTATGCTTAAAATGTTTAGCTCTTTATCAATTATAAAATTATTTTGCTCTTTTCTATTTTAAGCACATCTGTGACGCTATCTTTTTCTCTTTTCAAATCTCTAACATGGCGTCACCTTAGAATACAATTTTGAGTAACAGCTCATTACAAAGAAGATAAAATTCTGAAGATTTCCCTTGCTTACAGTATGCAGGTCCAATTTTCAGTTTCTGAACTATTTTAATCCAAACACGAAATTACTTCAAAAAGTCAGTGGTGTGCTTAAAGTAGAAAAGAGCCAATTATTTACTTAATAAAATGTAATCATGTTGTTGGCATATATGAAACAAGCAAGTACTGCTTATATTTGAAGACCGAACAGTTTTATCTGGGACTCTTACTTTCTCATAATAGTAGAGAATTTCACAGGACCATTTAATTATTCTTCTCTTGTGTTTCGATACACTTTAAAATTATAAGAATGCTAATAATTTTTATTCACTTTAAATAAATTAAGTAATGCTATGAGTTGTTGTTCAGCTCATTTTTTTATTCTTGGTTTTTATATAGATTTGTTGCAAATAAAATATTAGGATTGGTTGTTCTAGTTTGTAACTAATAGGTTATAATTTAATACAACTTTCTCTGTATTTTTGAGTTTGTTAATAGTATTTCAATATTTCATAGGGAAAGCAGGGAAAAATGAAGGAACTGTACGAGCAAGCTGTTGCAGAAAGTGAAAAGTCAGGTGTAAAGAAAGAAGCTGGCGAAGAAATTGTCACTGGCAGTGAGAAGGCTAAGGCTGTGAGGGAAAGGTAATAGCTGTTTTGGAATTTTGGACTGCTTTTTAAAATTGTATGTTGTTGGAATTGTATTAGGAGCTTGTTTAAAAATACCACTGAAAACAAATAATATTTCTATCCATACAAATTTAGCCAAGAGCAAACTAGAAAAATCAAGTAAGAGCAGAATCATAACAAAGAAATGTTAGTTATCACTAGTCTATATAAAAGCGCAGACTGTTTTTCATTTGAAACCACTAACTACAAAAAGTGCTTAACTATACATTATCAAATTTCAATTACATCATGTTCATGGTCCTTAGAAGGCTTAACAATAATAAAATATAACAATTTTTCATTAATTTACATTATAATTCATATATTCAATACTAGATTAGAATAGACCATTTTTTGAGAAAACTTTATGGCATCACCCATCAAAACGTTGTATTAACAATAGATGTTAACCCATAACAGAAACTGTGTACAATTAAGTTATCACAGTTTTGCGTAAATATCATTTGTACTACAAATAATAAGTGGCTCTGCAAACTTTTCAGCCTGTGTAGTTCTCGCACAAACTACTGTATATTGCCTTATCTGGATCAGGTTGCAGAGAAATTCAGTGTGTACTTGTGCAACAGGTAGGAAAATTAAAAATATCACAATGCCTTCCTCAATTTATACTGACGGAATATAATTTTTTTTAATACACTTTAAAACATAATACCGTGTGCAAAATTTTGCTGTCCAATAATTTGTTTTAGTGGTAGGTCCTTTTGTTTTTCCTCATAAATTTTTGATGTGCATTTATTCAAATGCATTTTCATATTCTCATGTAGTCATTACTTGTATGATCCAACTTTAAGGGTTGTGAAACTATGGGGTACAGCTAGTTTTTTAAAAATAATTTTATAACAATTCTATATTTCTGACGCAATTTTCATACTTATGAACCAATTTCCTTAATAACTAAGTTGTTGCAATGGAACTCATGGGTGAAATGAGGAGGACCTGTATTGTGCTATTATCCAGTATTTTTCCCCTCTAAAACCTAGAGGTCTATAATAATAATAATAAGGCTTAGCGAACCCGAAGATTCGATGCCGACACCACTAATCGCTTGTTACACACCTCCCTCCACCGTTCGCCGTCCAAACCCCAGTCCCTTAGATCGATTTTATCACTAAATAAAACCTAGGGTTCTTTAAAATAAATTCTATTTATGGAAATTCAATGTGTAAAATCTCTTAAGAAACTATAGTTCAAAACATCTCACAATTCTTAAAGAATCCCTTTCATTTACTATTTTAAAATGAATATTTATTTCAAGAGGCTGACTAAAAGTTAATTTCAGGTTTGAAAAAGGAGACACTGGAGCTGGTGAAGGTGATGGCTCGAAAAAAGCTGTAGATGAGGATATGGCTGTGTTTGAAGAAGGAATCTCAAAGAAGTCGAGGAATATATTTTTAGAAATGGAAGCTGCTGCTAAGTCTAACCCTATTGTTCCAGGGCAGCACTCTCCTGCTCGCACAGATTCTGTCAGAAGGCCTAGAGAGGTAAATAAATACTAAATGAGTAGATAATATCAAATAATAGAGGAAAGGGGAGAGCACAGCATTAGTTAGCATAAGGGGTAGGTTCGCCTATTAAAGGCTTAATTTTAATGTTAAGGGTTAAAGACCTAATTCAGAAATATTATCATTTATCAACATGAGAATAGTGATAAAATCTGGAATCGACCAACTGTTTTACTAGCCACAAAACTATTTTGCCATTAGTTTATTGGCTAAAATTATTAATTTTAGTTAATTAATAAATAAATTAAGTTTCTAGCTAAATATGAATCTTTTTTATTATTTGAAAAATTTTGTCAAATCTATTAGGGTTTAAATTTTCACATTTTTTTCCATGCCTGGTACCTCTGGCCGGAAAGGACCCTATTAAAATTTCTTATTTGTCCCAGTACAATTATAAAATACTCGTTTGTACAAAATCATATGCATGTGGGTTGGTTAGAATTTAGCTGTGAGGGTTGAAGTAATTTTAGTCCAAAAAAGACAATAACCAGCTCTAATAATGAAAAAAACCTTTTTGGAAAAAAGTTATGAAATATTTGTTTTATGTTTTTTGAAAGATTATTCTAAGGTCTATAAGGAAAAACAGTTGTAATTAAGTATAATGTTTTGTTTGTATGTGGTTTAAACAAATTAGATAGCTTGATTCTATAAGTTTCTTTAGTCTTATTTTATGTAAAGATCGCCATCAGAGAAGAATGAATTTAATGTTATGTTAAGGCATACTATAAACGAGAAGTTTCGCAATGTGAAGATGTGGTGCGAAGCAGTGATAAAGTTGAAGATGTGATGGCAGTAGAAACTGCTGATCTCTCCACAAGATTTAAATTTTTTGAAACTTATAAAGAACCTGAAAAACAAAAGAGAGCTTTTAGAATCACTCCTCCAAGAGAAGGACAAGTCAAGGTTTTTTGATGAAAATTCCTGTTTTGAATTTTTATGTTGCCATTTAATAACATCGGCTTTTTTTTGTTCAATATACCTCATAACCCACAAAACTTTTGTGGCATGACTGTGTAACATGTGTATAAGAGTGCATGGTCTTTAATTTACTGAATAATGTAACAAAGTAAATGCCTTATCAACACTAATATCCATGTATATATTTATTAATTTATCTGCCTCCTTGGAAATTAATTTGTGAATCTGGCTGATACAGATTTAAGTTTCTTATTCACTTTTTAACTGTAATTATATTTCTTTAATACTTAGTAGTATGAAGTACTAAAAATAAGGTTAAAGTTTTGTATCAATAATAATAGATTTTATTGCTCAAAAATACATGACTCATATCAGAAGTTGATTTTTAAATTAACAATTTAAACTTATTTATAAAAATACATCCTCAATGACAAAAAAATAAAGTTATGCATTGAAGGAAGACTTGAATTCACAGGTTTTAAATAACAAAATATTTCTATATAGTTAAAAATGTTTATGTATGATCTCGATATTGAAATTGCTTAACTTGATATATCCCACCCTGCATATAATTAAAAGAAAATAGTAAAATATTTAAAAGTAAAAATTTGCCTCTACTACTGCGATCAATGAATAATAATGAACAAATTTTATTTGCATTGTAATTAGCAGAGGCAAAATTTGTATACCATTTTCTCTTTGGTTTTTATTTTTCTGTTGTATTTTATTAAGCTTCAACAACAAATGATAAACTATTATCGATTATTTCAAGCATCGTTACATGAAATCAGTGTCAAGAAAATTTTAGTATTGTTTTTAAATTCCTTTTTTACTAATTGTTTAAAGCGTTTATTGAAGTTTGCTTTAATATACGATTAAGCTTTTGTTTTATCTTTTAATTATTAGTTTTGTATTAAAATTAAAGTAATTTTGTACTTACAGTCAGAATCCCCAGAAAGAGAGGTGTACCGTGATCCCGATGTAGTTCGTTGTGATGATAAACTAGAAGATGAATCAGCAATCAAGAAAAGCCAAACAACTAGCAGGATGCTTTCCATGTTTCGACAACTAGAGGAACAAAAGGAGGTTCTACCTGATGGTACTTATTATCTTTTATTAAATTGTTCTTAGGATTTATCTTTATTTTTATAAATTAGTAAAATAATATAGAGTTATTTTTTTTATAAAGGTCCTAAACCAAAAAAATGTTTTACACCCCCTCCCGACTATAAGGGCAGTGAAAGTTCAGAGGATGAAAGTGGTGAGGAGGAAGAGGAATCTGAAGAAGAAGAGGAAGAAAGTGAAACTGAAGAAGGTGTGGTTAAATCTTCCTACAAAGTTAAAGATGAATTTCTTGAACAGGTAACTAAACTTACTTCAAGGTATTAAAAATAAAACATTAACTAGTTGTTTAAAATATACCTTCTAAGTGTTATAATATATCTTTTAAGTGTTCTAGTATAATTTTTACGTGTTTAAAGTACAATTTAAAGAACTTTAATTATTTTTTATTTTAAGAAACCTAACCATAGATCCTCCTGTATCCTTCTTTAACTTCCTTACCCTTGTAACATTTCTTCTTATAATTATCATAGAATGTATCATATTATGATGTACAAGCATTGTGTAGCAGTGGACTCCATGATTGCGGTTTGGAGCATGGTGGGTTCAATTTTTACTTTTACTTACCTATATCAAATATATAGTGTAGTGATTTCGCTGGCTTAAAATTTAATTTTAAGCTCTAATCTAAAAATAATAATAGTTAATAGTGTAATAATTTGTCTGCAAAAGATAAAAATTATTAAAGTTAATCAAAAACAAAGAGTTAATCACAACAAAGTCTCAGTTTGTTCTCCTTTACCCTAGAAAGATCTAGGCACTATTATATGAGTCAATAATTTCATGCATGGAGTGAGTCTAAATTCAATAATAGAGTTAGTGGTTCAGTTACTTTTTAAATCAGTGAATCAGTTAATAATTCCCATGTTAGTAAATTCTTTATGAGCTATACACTTATATTTTTATTAATGAGTGTCAGTTTGTATATATTAAGGAAAAAGCCTCCAGTAAGGATTACATTTTTAATTTAACTTACTTATATATAAATGAAATATACAGGTTGTCCTTTAAGTAGAGCAAAACAATTATAAATAATAATTTTTAAAAATTATATATTTGATGGAAACCACATGTTTTCAAGGAAATTAAATGAAATTTCCTAACTAAATGTAAACTTTTAAAATTATTTTTAAGGTTGAAAAAAAAGTGGAAAAAATCCACCGAATCAAAGCAATGACATTGTTTAAAAAACAATTGCATTATATTTGTGTGAAAGAAGATGTAAAATAAAAAAAATATGTCATGGATGTGTGAAATATATATTTGTAACCATAAATGTTTTTGCTGTAGTTTAATAACACAAGATCCGATATTATATTTAAATAATTAGGTATCTATTGGGTTTATTTTGAAAAATTATCATGTAAAAGTACAGAAAAATAAATTAGTGAATACTTTGATGAATTTTCCTTCTGTGAAATCAAAACATTATCTACTTACAATTAGTATGAAAACTTTTTAATATTAGAGTATGCAAGGAAAATCTCTTAACTCAATTTTAGTAAACTTTACAATGTGAAAATTTGTAACTTATAGTAGTACAATCCATAATCATTTATTGGTTAAATATAAAGATATATTTTCAAATCTCTCTAGGCATAAATAGCTCAGATATGAGTTATATGGTTTACTGGTTAGCTGTAAACATTAAGGTTTAGCTAAATTAAAAATGCACTTCAAAAACTTTGTAGTAGCCCAATGTTTCCAGAAAATAATTTTTATTCAACATAGAGTGGTAAATGAAATTTGTGTGATGTACGCACCAGATTTTTAAAAAAATAAATAAAATCTGTATTAATACCATTTTGTTTAATATAATATATCCCTTATCATGGATCAAATAAATTAAAGCTTTGTAGTAATTTATTGTAGTCACTTTTGCTGAAAACATGAGTACTTTTAGGCGATTTGTTACCAAATCACTTCGTTTTTTTTACACAACTTGAGGTAAATCTTAACTTATTTCATAATAAACCTTAACTTAATTAACATGGACTTGAAAGTTATACAAATAAAGAAGTTTTCCTAACAGGTGGGTTATCTGTAGTCCAATCGAAGATTGATAAAAAAAAAAAAAAAAAATCATATAATTCATGATTTTTTTAAAAGTAGAATTTTGCTTGCGTTATTCACTCATAAGTCCTCTTTTGATGGTTTAACAATAACAAACTGTACTTTCATTTATAGTAAACTTTAGTTAAGTTTACTGTGAAGAAAGTTTTAATTACTGAAATAAATTAAATATTCTTTTACTTATTGCTTCCTCTTAAACAATAAACGTGACATTAAAAAAGGATAATTCTTAAATTTCTTAAATTTTCTGTAGAAAATTAGACCATTATTTATATCTTACATTTATAAATGGAAACTTTTATGGTTCAGACTATTTTTTTTTAAGTTGTCTACTGATTGGAAATGTGACTAAAATATGGCTAACTCATCTGTAAGGTTGATGGAAATTTATTAGTGTGTTATTTTATTTTATGGTTATGAGCATTGTGTAGTATTTTTTTTTTTTTATGAGGGAAAAGTTCTCTCAATTGTAGTGTAATGTAATTTGATTTACTTGTTTTAATTTTGCAGGCAAGGCATGCTGCTAAGGCTAAAGAATTAGCTGCTAAATTTGAATGTTGGGAACCAGAAAAGCAGTCAACGAATAATGCCATTAACATGCTAGATTCAGAACATGCCAGCATCGAATCAACAAAATCGCTAAAGGCTCGCTTTGAGTCACTTCAGAACGAACAACCGAGGGAAAAAGCCAGACCAAAAGTTAACCGATTTGTGGTAATTATATTATATTACATATACTTTTTTGAAGTTATATTATTATGTTTCATTGATGAAAAATAAATCATTTATTTATGAACTAATAATGGCATTGTAAATTTAATGTTATTTGTTTTCAAATTTACTCTCTTAAGTGCTTCTAATCTAATGTTGCATCCTTACTATGCAAACTGGTATGAATTGGCTTTACCGAATGGTAAGTGGGTACCCATTGTTGGCTGGTGCCAAAGTGGGGCCAATCAGCTTTAATGCTTGCCAATTCCAAACTGACAGATTGTTGGTCTGGATTAAAAGAAGGCGATCAGCACAGCCTGAATAAAAGTCTTTCTTTTTTTTTTTACTTAGTCTTGGAGAAGAACTTAAAAGGAATTGACAAATGATAAAATAACCTTACCCTGTTAAGGGACTATCGTGTATTTAATTACGAAAATCAGTGTAAGTAAACACATGCTTTAAACTAAATTTCATTATTGATTGTTGATGAGAAAATTAAAATTGAAAGAAAAATTAAATATCTTGTGCTGTACTTGTTATTAGAGAACCAGTTTTTCTCAATAAATTTTCAAAATTAGTATATTTCATTCCAAAGCTATTTCTGAACACGGAAAATTGTACATTTTCTGTACATTTGAGAGTGATAATCTCCTGTTCAAGAAATTATATGATTCCATATAGCCAATTGCCATAGTGGAGATGTGGCATTAAAATTATATAAGGAAATTAAAATTTGCTTTTTGAGGAAATTGGAAGGAAAATTAGCTGTTATGGTATGGTTTACAATGTCACATTTTTAGATTGAATGAACAGCTTTGGTAGAAACAGACAGCTTATTTACACAAATTGTTTGATTTATTGTCTTTGATGTTTTGAGGATATTTTCATAAGATGTTCTCAACAATGTTGAAATGTTGAATTCATATTCAAAACACAAAATTCCTATTTTGAAATATTTATCAAAATATTGTCAAAAAACAAGTAAACTAATTAATAACCTTAATGACTCATTTGTTTTAATTTTCTAATAATTAATATTGAGAACATTTTATCCATTCGACCATTTCAGTTTAGGTTTGAATAATGTTCATTGATTATGTAGCATTGATTATTACATAATGAAGATTATTGAAACGGTCTTGCAAACAATTGGTATTAGGGATTCTTAGAACAACAGAAAGGCTATAATGAGAGTATCCTCAAAATATTTTGGTTTTGCTTTATATTTTTTTTTAATTTCGTTTTGTATGTCTTTACATATCATGGGCCTTGTAAAAATGCATCATTAGTTCTTTAAGCAAAAGGTTCCCGACCTTTTTGTATTCTTTTGGAGTAGAGAATTTAATTTACCAGCAGCATCATTCAACTCTTAATAACTCAAGTTTTTGGACACCACAAAATTTTCCCAAAACTCATAAAAATTAATGAATTTTTTGTGGAATCAATTGGCAAACAATGTTTAAAACTTTAAAGAAGAAACTATTTAACCTTTCAAAGTAAAACTTTAGTGTAAGAAAAAGTTATTAACCTTTTGAGATCCCAAGATAATCTAGAATATGGAACAAATGATAGTTTCCTGTTGGCATCATTTTCCTGTCCTTCCAATCATTTATCATGTCCTCATCATATTTTGAATATTTTGGTACATGCTTATAGATAATCAGCTGATCATTTTGATATCAAATGGTACAACCAACCAACCGATTTCTAAAAAAACTTGTGAAACTTAAACTCTCTGTTTACTACTCTGTTTTCCCTTGAACACGCACAAAAATGGAGAAACTTTAGCCCGAGCACTAGTTATTAAATTTTTGCTTTTAACTTTTATTTTTTGTGAGTGTTTACTTCTGTTAGAAATTTTAAGATATTTTCAGTACTGTACTCACTCCTTCAAAAATTCTAATGTTTGTGAATGTTGGTAATATGTTCATGTCTTCCTTTTGTTTTGCTCATTTTCTCTATTTGAGTCCCCCTCCCCCTCATCTTAATTAAAAATATCTCTGCTATAAACCAAAATGTCCTAAATGCAGTAATTCTATATGCTCTCTTATTTCATTGCTGGTATATAGAAATTTGAGTTACTGAGAGATGATTGAATAATTATAGTTTGATTATTTTAATCATATCAATTTTATGTTGAAGAAAGTTTTTGTTTTCTTCAATTATATAAATTAATGAAAAATGAATAAATGGCAAACTTAATAATAACACATTTTTGTTATTTATTAATTATTTATTCAAAATTTCTCATTCAGTATCATTAATCATAATATATACCAATACACAGTGAAATTTCTAGATATATTCATACTTTGTTTTCATAAGAAACTTGCAACAATTAATATAAATTAAATAGATATTTTTCTTTATGGAGAAAGAGTTTAAAACAAATCCAAAAATAGAATAAAAAGGGTTGGGAAACCTTATACTAAGCAGTTGTATGCCTCTTTCTAAGCTGACTGTTTCATCGGCTAATATTGAATTTACCTAGGCTTAATTAATTTTCCTTTTGCATTATCACACTCCCTCCAACTGCTCCCTTAACATGAAATATAACATCATCTGAGATAACAGAACATCTGCAAACATTTTTTATGATACACTGAATAGTATAGTGGAAGGTATTAGATATATTTTCAAAAAACGTATTTTTGTTTTCTTCTGATGAAAAAAATTATATTCAAAAAGCGAGAGAAAGTAGATTATAAAAAAGTTTTAAAAACGTTTTAACCATAAAGATTAAATAATTCATTCATAAATAAGTGAGGAACAGTAAAGAAGAAAGCCTAAGGTTATATTCTTTGTGATCATCAGTGATCCTTTTTTGACGGGCCTTTCGAATTTTACTTCTTTTGTTACATAGATATATTATTCTGATCAGTTGAGGTATTTAAAGAAATATTTCTGTTTTTCGGGTGTGAGTCAAATTTGTTATTATTTACAAAAAAAATGTAAAACTAATGCTATTTTATTATAATAATTGTATTGTGCAGTTAAAATATTATTGCCTATTTTTAAACTGAACCATCTAAATTGAAACGATGATTCTTAATATTTTAAACATGATCACTTTTACTGAAGCACATAAAATGTGAGAGTGAGAATTTGTTTGTGTGCTTAGTAGACAATTTATTTGTTTTCAATTTTTGTTGATATTGAAATAGAAAAAAATAGAATAAAATCCCTAAGTTTACTTTTTTCATTAAAAGTTTGTAGTAAATTTTGTTTTGTTTTTCTATTTAAGTGTATAATATTGGTCTTCCATTTGAACTACGTAATCGTTATCAAAATAAAGGGAAAATACTTTTTTTTAATAATGAAATACAAGTATATATTTTGACTTTAAAACTATTTAATGTTATACGAAGAATATATATAAATGAACTAAAAAAGGATTTTGAAAGCCAATAGAATGTCCTATGAAATAAATCTGATCAGTAATAGGTCCTAGATGGCTGGTATCAAAATACTTAGTTTGAATCCATAAGTAGTGGATATGACTATAATTTTTAATTTCGGAATTGTTCATTCAACATTAATGATTAAAATAAATTACAAGAAATGAATGCTGTAAATTATTGTTACATAATTGAAATATCGGATGAAAATGATAGTAAAAAGAGGAGAATACCAGTAGTGGAATGGTGGTGGGAATTGTTTTTCAATAGTGGCTCATAAATAGAAAACGTACTTTTTCACAACTTTTTGAAATATCTGAAATTTGAGTATATAAGCTGTAGAGATTATTGGATTCTAGTTTTGGAACAAGTTGCCAGCCATTATTTGTTTCTAATTAAATATTTATAATGAACGAAATTGATAAATTTCTTTTGTTAATAAATGTAAACATGAAATTTATAAACTCTTACAATATTAAATAAAAGTGAAAGACCTTTTTTAAATGCACTATTCTTTTGAATGGTTGTTTTATTTTCTATTCTTCATCTTTAAAAAGACAACCATAGTTTTAAATGATCCTAAAAGTTAATCTTACCCTTTTCAAAAAAAAATGATTTGCTCTTATCTTAAATCTGAGGTTCTTCTATGAATTTGAAAAGTAATTATCTAGAATTTATTAAGTTTATGACTTATTTAACTAATAATTAATTAATTTATTTTTCTGATCTTAATTCCTCACCATTACAATTCATTTATATTTTATGTTATATACATTTTTTTTTCAAATCAGTAACTGAAAATTGCTTTGAAAATAAACATAACAATTTATTTGTGAAATTATACTGAGATTTATCATAGTTACATAAAAAATGCTATTTATTAATTAATGAATAAATAGGTGTATTCATGTGGGTGATTCAGTAATGTTTATTCTACATAAAAAGGTAAAATAAACAAAGATAAGTTATTCTTTATAAAACTTTCAATGATTTTAAGCCACAAAAGAAAAGAAAAAAATAATAATACTAAACTAAATAAAAACAAAAAAAAAAAAAAAAAAACAACCTAAATTCTGGCCATAATATAGGACTGTTAAAAACACTATCCTACAAGTTGTTCACTAAACAATCATTGCAAGATTACAAGAGTGACATAGGAAATTATTTCAGATGTTCACATTGTCCCAGATCCTAAGACACTTGATAATCCCGTTTTTTCTTACTGAGCTGATGAATGGTACAATGGTCGGGTTTGGTTTGTGCAGCGCTCTAAGAAGTCTCGTCGGAGGGCTTCGCACTCGATGTATATTACGCAGAACTTAGCCAACATCTCAGCGAGACTGGAGAAACAGAGATGTACTCCTTTTCATCTTTTGTCATCAAACCTCACCCTTCATGTTATTTACCTTCCTTTTCCCATATTATCCTGTTAATAATCTTTTAATCAGATTGTTGCTTTCCTTGTGTGTTTGTGTTTTGTTGATGTAATACTTTTTTAATACTACCTTTTGTTTTGTCCTCATCCCGAGTCAAGTAAATATAAAATTTTAAATATTTTTATGTAACCCTGAGTTATTCTAATTTGTGCTTTGTGACCATTAAGTT